TACACCTTTCTAGTTTTCTAGAATTATGTACTACTTTTAAATATGATGGAGTGTCGAATGATGTCGTCAGACTTAAACTTTTTTCTTTTTCATTAAGGGATAAAGCTAAGATGTGGTTAAACTTGTTAGCACCTGGATCTATCAGAACATGGGGAGACTTATCATAAAAAATTTTATATAAATATTTCTCACCTTCAAAAATTGCTAAGCTTAGAAAGGATATTACATCTTTTTGTCAGTTTAAAGGAGAACCAATTTATGAAGCCTGGGAAAGAATTAAAGATCTCTTTATGAAGTGTCCATATCATACATTGTCAGATTGGTTAATAATTCAAACTTTTAAAATGGATTGGTTGGATCTCTTAGATCAATAATTGATGTTGATGCTGGTGGATCATTAATGTCAAAATCATTCCATGAAGCATATTCTTTAAATAAAGAGATGGCTACTAATAATTTTCAATGTCCCTCTGAAAGGGTAAATCTAAAAAGAGTAGCTAGTATTCATGATTTTGATGCAATATCTACATTAGTTGCCCAAATAGTTGTTATATCAAAGAAGATAGATCAAAAGGGAATGATTTATTATCAAACATCACTTGTGCTTGAGGAAAACTCATTGGAACAAATGATAGAATCTCAATCTTCTTATGAGACCTTAAATGCAACAAATAATCATTGCAATAATCCTTACTCCAACTATTATAATCTTGATTGGAAGAATCATCCAAATTTTAATTGGAGTAACAATAACTATAAAGTTACAGATCCACAATGGGGAAACAACGCTGCGAACTCATTGAGAAACTCCAATAATCAAGGAAATCCAACTTATAAACCTTATTACCCTCCAGGTTTTAATAATTTGTAGAGTAAGGAGAAAAAGTTGTCAATGAAAGAATTGATATTACAAATGGGAAGCCAATTACAAATTCAAGGAGCTGCAATTAAAAATATGAAGAATCAATTGGGATGTATTACTACTACACTTAGCAATAGACCTCAAGAAAAGTTGCCTAGTAATGTTGAAGTAAATCATAAAGATAAAAAAAGAGAAAATTAAGGATATTCAACTGAGAAGTGGAAAAGAATTAGAAATCAGAGTTCAAAAAGAAGTGAAAGTTGAAAAAGATGAGGTGGAAAATGAAACATCTGGTGAAGATTTTCATTTTGAGTTAAAATGTCCTATTAAACTAATGAAAATCATAGTAGAAAGAACACCACCTCCATTTCCTCAACGATTGAAGCAGAAAAACAAAGATAACCAATTTTAAAAAAATTTATAAATATTGAGGAAACTGACGATAAACATTCCATTTATTGAAGCCTAAGCTATGTAAAGTTCGTGAAGAATATACTTAATAAAAAAAGGAATTTTGTAGATAATGAGACTTTTTCACTCAATGAGGAGTATAGTGTTATAATTCAAAAAAATCTTTCTGAAAAACTCAAAGATCCTAGAAGTTTTACTATTCTTTGTGCTATTGGCAAAAAATTTTTTGGAAAAGTTTTTTGTGATTTAAGAGCCTGTATTAATCTTATGTCTTTAATAATTTCCAGAAGGTTGGGTTTAGGAGATAATTCACCTACAATTGTAACTCTTCAGTTAGTTGATCACTCTTCAGTTAGTTGATCATTCTTGATCATTCGATTGCCTATCCGAAAGGATTTATAGAAGATGTTTTGGTAAAAGTTGATAAATTTATCTATCCTATGGATTTTATTATATTAGATATGGAGAAAGATAAAGAAATTCCTATCATTTTAGGAAGACCATCCCTTGCCACTAGAAGAGCCTTAGAGAAGAGAACTAACTATGAGAGTTAGTAATTAAGAGGTTACATTTAATATTGCATAATCAATGAGATACCCTGTAAAAGAGAAAGATATTTAATGCTTCAGAATGGATAATGGATATTAACGAATATTTAAGTTTTAAGTCATGAATATTTTAAGAAGACATTCAAAAAAGAATTTGAAAAGGAATATTTAGAATATCAAGATGAGGATAAAATTTAAGATGAATCTACGAAAGTGTGTAAAGAAGATTTGGAATATGTTCAAGAAAATTTTGAAATGTTAAACCCCACAAAAAGTAACAAGAATTTGATTTCATCTATTAAGAAACCACCTAAACTAGAACTCATGCTTTTTCAAGAGATTTATCTACATTACATGTTAAAGTATCCTAAGAATTAATTGATACGCAAGAACAACAGTTGTTGGAAATTTTAAGAAGATACAAGAAAGCTTTTCGATGGACATTAGCTCATATTAAAAAAATCAGTCCTTCAATTTATATGCATAGAATTTTATTGAAAGATCAACTTGAACCAAGAGCTGATCCTCAAAGAATCCTATGATGAAAGAAGTTGTTAAGAAAGAGATTTTAAAATGGTTAGATGCTGGAGTAATATATGCTATTTAAGAGAATGCTTGGGTTAGTCCAATTCACTATGTTCCAAAGAAAGGAGGTGTGACTGTAGTGACAAATGAGAATAATGAATTAATACTAAATGAGAAAATGAGAATAATGAATTAATACTAACAAGACTAGTCACTGGATAGCAGTTCTGCATAAATTATAGAAAATTAAATTGTGCCACCATAAAGGATCATTTTCTTTTACCATTTTTTAACTAGATGTTGGATAGTCTGGCTGGGCACAGATTTTTTATTTTTTAGATGGATATATAGGTTATCATCATATACATGTTGCTCGAAAGGATCAAGAGAAAACAACACTTACTAGTCCTTATGGATCTTTTGCTTTTTGGAGAATGCTCTTTGGATTATGTAATGCATCTGCAACATTTCAAAGATGTATGATGTCAATTTTCAGTGATTTAATTAAAAAAGGGATTGAAGTATTTATGGTTAATTTTTTTGAATTTGGAACTTCATTTGAAATATTTTTAAATCATTTAGAGAAAGTTCTTGAATGATGTGAAAAGCCTAATCTCGTATTAAACTGGGAAAAATGTCAATTTATAGTTGCAGGTCAATTTATACAATTTATAGTTGCAGGAGGAATTGTGCTTGGGTATAAAATTTTAAAAAATGACATGAAAGTAGATCCTGCAAAAATTTAGGTTATATCAAACCTACCTCCACTTACCACTGTAAGAGGAGTTAAGAGCTTTTTAGGACATGTTGGATTTTACAATCGATATATTAAAGATTTTTCAAAAATTAAAAAACTTTTATGCCAACTTCTGGAAAAAGATACAAAATATGACTTTAATCAAGATTGCCTTAAAGCCTTTGAAACATTAAAGGAAATTTTGATCACTGCTCCTTGCTCGATCACTGCTCCTATAATTGTTTCACCTGATTGGGAGAAACATTTTGAATTAATGTGTGATGTAAGTGATTATGCAATTGGAGTTGTATTAGAACAAAGATATGATAAGATTTTTAAAGTCATATACTATGCGAGTAAGACACTTAATGAAGCTCAAATTAACTATAACACTACCAAAAGAGAATTATTAGCCATTTTTTATGCTTTTGATAAGTTTAGGTCATATCTGATTGGAGCTAAATGTGTTGTGCATACTGACCACTCAGCTATTAATTATTTGATGAAAAAGAATGATACAAAACTAAGATTAATTAGATGGGTAATAATCAAATTGTTGATCATCTATCTAGGCAAAAACAGGAAGAAATATTTGATTTAGAAAAAAAATTAATGAAACTTTTCCTGATGAACAACTTTATGATGTAAAAGGATGGGAAATACCGTGGTATGCCGATATTGTAAATGATATTGTTAGTAGTATTTTACCATATGGACTAACAAAAAAATAGGAAAAGAAAATCATTCATGATGCAAAATCTTAATTTTAGGAGGCCCCTTAGTTGTATAAATAATGCAAAGATTTAGTAATGAGGCTTTAGTTATGCGAAGATGTGTGACTTATAAAGAAATTCAAGAAATTATCCAAAAATGTCTATTGGTGGAGCACTGGGAACACCTATGAGAGTGGATGCTCCCACTTATAATAAGGCTAGACCTGGCCTTGCTAGAATTCAAGCTGAAAGAGATATCATACATTGCAAGATGCTGAAGAGAATCTAGATTGGTTCTGATCCTGAAGGGTTCTGGTAGGATATATTAGTTAAACAGAAGCCTTACTATTGTCCACATTGCAAGATGTTTGGGCATACAGTAGATAAATGTTACAGATTACATCCCCCAAATAGGAAGATGGAAGGAAGAAACGACATAGCTACTGAAAAAATTGTGGCTAATGATGCAAGGGGCACTGCTGAAGAAATTATGTTAGAAAAGAGATAGGAAACAAATCCAAGGATAGAAGAATCACCCCCAAGGATTAATGAGGATCCACCAGATGCTGATCCTCTTGAAGAGCTATCTGAACCCAACAGCCAAGTTGATATCCCACAATACAGATCAATCAGGAAGGAAAATACTGAAATCACAATTGTCACACCCACATCCCCCTTGCATGCTGAGAAGGGGAAGCAAATCATCACAGAGATACTTAACAAAGCACCAAAGGAACCAAGCATTAATGAACTGAAACAAACCATTGAGGAGGATTGGCAAATTAAAACAGCAAGGAAAAGGAGAAAACCAGGGACAGAAGTGAAAAACTTACAAGCAAGAGTACAATTTATGAAGTCTGATAGAACTAGGAATGGGTCTCCACTCCTTAGAGGAAGAACCAGATCTAGATCCCAGCCTTCCCCACATCCTCCACTCCATGATTAATCTACTTTTATGGAATATAAGGGGGATGGCTAACCCTCTGTCCCTTAAAAGAGTTTTATACCTGAATTATAAATACAAACTGTGGTGCATTGTTATTCTTGAACCCATGGTTCACAAGAATCCTCAAAACCTGATTAAAAAATTTGCTGGCTTCACTCATTTTGGGAACACTAATAATAAAATTTGGATTTTTTGCAGAAGAGAAACAAATTTTGATATTCTAATTGATCATCCACAATTTGTCCACATCTCATTCAATATGAATGGACATAAAGGTGAAGCTACCTTTGCCTATGTTGGATGTACAAAGGATGCTAGAAAAGAGCTGTGGAATAGGTTGATTCACATCAACCAACTGGTGAACTCCCCATGGTTGGTGGAAGTGATTTCAATTGTATCATTTCTACCACTAAAAAATCTGGAGGTAGAACTCCAAACCTTGCCAAGATGAATACCTTCTGAGATAATATCCACAGGGCTGGTCTCTTTGATCTGGGTTTCAAGGGACCTAATTTCACTTGGAAAAGGGGATCTATTTGGGAGAGGCTTGATAGAATGTTGGTTAATGATGCATGGTTCAATCACTTCCTCCTCACCTTTGTTACTCACCTTAGCCTTGTTGGCTCAGATCATAGACCTATTCTTATAAGCATCACCTCAACTGATAGTTATAGCTCCCCCCTCCCCTTTAGATATCTCAACATGTGGGTTGCACATCCTTCATATAGTAATTACATTGCTGGCCTATGGAAAGGGGTCTCTCACCTTGACCCCTTAGTTAAGCTAAGCTTACTGCAAATTAAGACTGTTAAAGCCCTCAGAGGTTGGAGCTGGAACACTTTTGGAAATGTTCATGCCACAGTCCAGAAGGCTAAAGATGAAGTAAAAGCTTTGGAGAATGGGGGACACCTTGGTATTGAGGAGGAGAAAAAGCTGCTGATTGCTCAGAACAACCTCCTCAGTGCCATTGACTACTAGGAAAAATTTCTTAAACAGAAGGCAGCCATGAATATTTTCATTGATGGGGATAGAAACACCAGATTCTTTCATGCCTATATCATCCATGCTATACAAAATGCCAATGGCCGGTGGTTACATAACAACAATGATATAGCAAATGATGTTATATGTTATTACAAAGAATTACTCAACCAGGAACATAACTTCAGACCCTACATTGAGAAGGCACACTTCATGGCAGAACTGAACTACACTACTGGTCTCAAGCTTACTGACATCCCCACTAAAAAGGAAATATGGAATGCAATCACTTCCATAGATAGCAGTAAATCTACTGGCCTTGATGGATTTACTGTTGAATTCTACAAGAAGTCCTGGGAAATTATTAAGACTGATGTTATTGCTGTTGTTACAAGCTTCTTTCAAGGCAACAATCTTCCAAAGTACTTTTGCTCCTCCACCACTGTATTGATCCCTAAATCTGAAATACAAAAAAATTGGAATCATTTCAGACCCATCTGTTTGACCACTATCATTAGCAAAACCATCAGTAAAATTATTGTGAACAGGCTACAACCTCACTTGGACTCTATAATTAAACCCAATCAAACTGCCTTTGTGAAAGGAAGGTCCATCATTGATAATACTCTTCTGGCCTAAGAACTTCTACAAGACTTGAATAAAGCATGTAGAGGGGGTAATATGGTTTATAATCTGGACTTAAGGAAAGCTTATGATACCATAAGCTGGGATTTCATTTTGGAGCTTCTAAGTGTTAGAGGATTTAACAAAGGATTTAACAATGGTTTCTGCCACCTAATCAGGAGGTGGCTGCACAACAATGAACATTCCATCCTGATAAATGGGCAAGGGAGGGGCTTTTTCACTGCTACAAGAGCTTTAAAGCAAGGGGATCCACTATCACCCACCATCTTTATACTTGCAATTGATTATTTGTCCAGAATGCTTAATGAAGCCTTGCTGAATCATAGTCAAAACAGATACCACCATAGATCCAACATTGCTATTACTCATTTACTATATGCTGATGACATAATGGTATTCTCCAGAGCCAACAAAAATTCTATAAAAAAAGTCTTCCAAATTTTACAAAAGTTCCAAGCTCTTTCAGGTATGGCATTCAATCCAGCAAAGTGTCAGATGGTACTCTATAAACATGTATCCTCCACTCACAAACTTTGGGCATTTGATTATACTGGTTTCACAACTACTCAACTCCCTATTAAGTACCTTGGGGTGCTTCTTATCACTGGCAGAACCAAACAAACTTAGTTTGATGAGGTACTGAAAAAAAGTCTCTAACCTTCTCAACGGGTGGACACAGACCTTCTTGTCTAATGGGGGAAGAATTACCTTGTTAAAGAGCATAATCACTACCTTCCCAGCTTATATACTGCAGATGACTACTATAAAGAAAAGCACTCAAATACAGCTGGAGAGACTGTTTAATAAATTCATGTGGTCTGGTCAAAGACAGTAAATGCATTGGGCTTCCTGGAGGAAAGCAGCTAAACCTCAAATTGCTGGGGGAATTGGCTTTAAGGACCTTTATCAACTCCTTCAAGTCAATTTTTGTAAACTCTGGATTAAGTTTAGGACTCAAAATTCACTATGGGCTAAATTCATGTGGGGTAAGTATTGCAAAGATCAGCACTCCACACTGGTCCTAAGGAAAATGGGTGATTCTAGAATTTGGGTGAAAATGTTGAAAATCAGACAAATTGCTGAAACCAACTACAGTTGGGAGCTGGGAAATGGGGAAATCAAGTTTTATCTAGAAAATTGGTGTCCAAAATACTGGCTCTCCCCCATCACCAATATCTAAAATAGTGAATTGAAAGTGGTTGATTGTTGGGATGGTGATAACTGGTCCCTGGGTAAGTTAGCAAATCTTCTGCAACCTCACTCTATTACCAAAGTGGCCAGCATAAAATTTAATAGAAATATTGCTGACAAAATCTTATGGCAGACTGCTTCCCACCAAAGCCATATATTCCAAAAATTTCAGTTTGGAGCAAACACCCTGGGGTGATCATTTATGGAATAAATTCCTATCCCCTTCTATGTCCTTTTGCTGTTGAAGAATATTCCATAAAATGATTCCTACTGATGACATTCTAAAGCTGAAAGGATTGAGGGGTCCCTCTAAATGCTGGTTATGTAAGAAGGAAGAGGAAACTCTGAATTATTTATTCTTTGAATGTGACTTTGCTCAACAGATATGGAAACAATTCCTCAATCAGTTGACAATTGATCAGAAAGAGCTCACTTGGGATAGGCTAGTCAATTGCTAGTGGCATTGGAAGATAAGAAAGTATGCTGCTATCCCTTTCACTATTGCTTAGTTCATCTGGATGGAAAGAAACAAGGTCAAATTTGAAGAAGCAAATCCAAATGTGGGGATTACTTCTAGAAATTGTGTAACTTACTTGCATAAGATGATTAATTGGAAAGGATTTCCTAACATTTCTAACTCCTATACATCCATTAAGTCTGATCTTATTCAAGTCATTAGAGTCTACTGAAAAACCCCAAATCATCTTATTATGAAGATTAACACTGATGGAAGCTTTACTAAAAATGGAGCTGGTGTGAGAGGTATCTACAGAAATCATCTGGGTAAGTGCTTGTTGTACTTTTATACCCCATTCCTGGCCAATGATGCCACTGAAACTGAACTCATTGTTGTGTATTGGGCAATCAAACTTGCCACTAAGGCTAATTGGAATAGAATTTGGTTGGAAGTGGATTTTGCTGTGATTATTCCCCTTTTAAATCAGAAGGAGGAGACTCCCTGGCACTACTCATACTGGATAAGCAAAATCAGAGATCTCACTAGCAAGATACAAATTCAGTTCACTTTCATCTATAGG